TCCTATACCTCATTTCAGGGTTAACTAAATCAAGCATGAAAAAATCATGAGGTTTCGTGACACACTTTTTGTACATACTATCGAACTCCTCGCTGGTGAGACTACCATCGATTTCCCTCAGGATTTGTTTAACCTCTCTTGGTTGGAGTCTAAAGAAGATAAAGTAGTTACAGTTCTTGCGTATGTTGATGGGTGTTGAGTAATATGATTGAGATATATAGATGATGGACGCATTTTTCTTCCTACCTCTTATGAATAGGTCCTCTATGACTTTTTGCTTCTTTTCTGTCACGCAGTCATCGAATACAACTAGATTCTTAACGTTAGGATCAAGTTCATCTACTGTTATAAAATCGCCCAACTCTGACGTGAATAATGTTTCCTTCTTGAATTTGTGAAACATTTCTAAAACTTTTTCTTTATCAACCTTCTTAACTTTTTTAAGGCTAAGAATATCATCTTCCTCTATATCATTAAACTGCGTGTATGTTTCTTGTAGAGATGAATACTTGGGCTCAAAGATGTCTTTAGCACATACGTAGAGATTGTCAAACTTCAACCAATCATAGATGAAGTTAAGAAGCAAGTTTGTCTTACCACACCCTGAAGGTCCGGTGATTAAAAGTCTGAAGGGATGTTTGGGTAGCAAAGGATGCTGATCAGCATATGCAAACTCTTCAGGTTGCGTGTAATTCTTTATTCGAATCATATCTTTATTTAAGGTGAAAATATTTGCTTTAAGGCAAAAAAATATTTACTTTAAGGCAAAAACATTTACTTTAAGGCAAAACTTTATTTGCTAAGTAATAAAGATGAATCAATTAGAAAAGGAACGCATTGAAAAGATAAAGGGGCAGATACTAGCCCAAAAAAGATTGGGTGAGTTACAAAAAGATCTTAGAAGAAAAAACGAGCAGCAGCTTCAAGAAAAATTAGGTGTTCGAGAAATGTTAACAGAGTTTCATAAGCCTGTGACAGAAGAGATGACTAAGCAGGAAGTATCTAGAAACAAACACCTTAAAGCTGTTCAGGATGCAATACAGGAAATATCCTCTCCATCGTTAGAGTCCACAACAATTCCAGAATTGGATTATGGAATAAAAGATTTGGAGCGCAGGATTTATAATTTAAACTTAAATAAGGATATCGACGAGTCTTTCATTCGGGAAGAGGGTTTTGAACTACCATCGGAATTAGTGAACAAAAGTGAGGGCGAGCTGAATGAAATCATAAAACGCGCCAACGACAGAAATAAAGAATTCGGAACTAGAAAAGGGCCTATGAAAAAAGAATGGAAGAACAGTGCAGAAGATAATGAAGATAGGAAAAAATATTTAAGAAAAGAGTTGGACAAGTTCGACTACAAAATTCAAATGATGAGGAACTATACAAAAGCACTCAAAACACTCAGGGATGGAAATTATTATTCAGGCGAGGGTATCGATAGGGTGGAGCTGCTTTCGCGACTGACGGATAAAAGATGTGGAGGGAATAAAAGTAAAACGCTCTACAATAAAATCGTTACTCTGTTGGATGCGCTTTTGAAAAAGGGTGAGCTAACTAATGATTTTGTAAAAAGCTACTACGCAAAGTTTTTGAGCTAACTAAAATTTTCTCTACATATAATAAATGAGTAACTACATTAAAATAAAAGTGCATCTGACTGATCATCAGATCAACAAGTTAAAGACTGCACACAAGAAAAAAGAGGAGGTCACTCTACAGATCAATACCTCCAAGGCGCCAAATCATGATCTATATCTTACACAAACACAGATCGAGCAACTAAAGAAGGGCAAACGCATAAAGATCAGCAAAACACAACTGGAGACAAATGGTGGATTCTTGCCTTTTCTTCTTCCCATTCTTACTACTTTAGCTACCGGTGCTCTTTCGGGGGCAGCTGGATGGGGAGCCAAAAAGATTATGGATAAAGTGAGCGGATCCGGTTGCGGGGGAAAGAAAAAAAAGGGGAAAGGCGTTCTACAAAACTGGGAATCTCGAACAAAATGATTGAGGAATGCATGAATGGTGAGAGAGGATTTCGTGGCGTCTTCACATCAGACTTGCTACCCAAAAAGATGAGAAAGTTTGAAAGTGGAATTATTAATTTAGACTTGTCGACAGGGCCTGGAACACATTGGGTGGCTTACTACAACGATCCAAAAAATAATTTTGTAGAATATTTTGATTCATTCGGAGACTACAAATATAAAGGTACTACTTTAAAGGATGACACTATCCCGGCAAACATATTTCATTACCTGAGAACATCAAACAAAGAAGTTCGGTACAATTCAAGCTTCCTGCAGAAACCCACATCTGAGCGTTGTGGCTACTTCAGTATGACATACATAAAAAAGAGAAATAGAGGACACCCTCCTTGGGACATCTTATACTCCCTAACTCAAGAACCAAGTGATCATAATGAGAAGAAAGTGCTACTTTAATGAAACATGTGTGTTATTTTAATAGGTAAAAGCCCATTAAAATAAAAAAAAAATAAAATGCTTATAATAAAATGACTCTGCTTATATTAAACTCAAAAGACTACCCGAAGTCAGAAGACTTTACTGTCGAATACGCTACGCCTCTGAGAATCAAGAGGGTTGCTTTGCAATCATTTTCCTTATGGGTTTCATGGTACAACATTTGCAAGGCCTATGAGAACAACATGCTTTCATTCTATGATGGAAGCCTTTGGTATGATCTAACTATTCCGGATGGAAATTATACTCTGGGGGAGCTAAACGATTACATGATGCAGTACTTCAAGGACGAAAGTCCTCCCATACAGTTTGGCGTGATATTCGCTCGACAGAGAGATTTGTGATAAAACTGAAAGAACACTACAAGCTTGATTTATCAAAGAGTAAGCTTCATGAGATTTTAGGATTTGAACCAAAGATTTACGAAGAAGTGAAACAAGAAGCCAAGTATGTGGCTAATATTTCTCGAAGCATCGATGATATTCATATCCATTGTGATATAATAGAGGGAGCTTATTTGAACCAATTTGCATCAGAAGTTATCCATTCTTTCACACCGGCTCAAGAGCCAGGCAGTTTGCTCTCTAAAGATTTTGACAGACCTATCTTTTTTAAGACAAAGAGTAACCACATATATAGGATCAGGATGCGTCTGACCAATCAGGATGGTGAACCTATTGAGCTCAATAATCAAAGGGTACTTTACAGGTTGCTGGTGGAGTGAAGAAAATTTTTGTACTTACAATAAATGAACAGACATAGACTTTACGGAGCAAGCAAGAGGATACAAGGGCGAGGTTTCTTTGGGAGAAAGCTTTTGAACCTAGCTAAGAAAGAGGTTGAACAAGAGGTGCAGCAAGCAGTGAATAGTAAATTGGAGTCAATCCTTAATAAAACGATTAAAAGAGGCACAGGTTTAAAAGTAGTGAACGAAGCTAAATTAGAAGCTATCCTTGGAAAGAATATGAAGCGAAAATAATTTTACTGCATATAATAAAGATGAACAATATTTGGGAGTTGAAACAAACGTCAGAAGACGTCATCAGAGATATAGAAAGTTTTGAGTATAGAGAAATCAAAGAAACGCACAACACTCAAGATACGAGTGAAGATGCCACGTATAACTTTCACATACTCGATACAAACGCTAAAATTCTCTACTCCAAAGGATATATTCACCAAGAACTCAGAGTCCTAAAAGCAAATGGAGATTCTGTAGGGGAAGAGAACGTGACATTGGTGAATGGTGGAGGTTTACTCAGGAGAAGTATCATGACCATCGGTGCCTATGAGATAGATTCAGATGTGCATGACACATCCTTGATGTTACAGGTTATGGGTTTAATTAACTTCACACCTGATTATGCAACTTCGGAAGCGACCAATATGTTTTACTATATAGATACCTCCGATTCTACCGAGAGAGGATCGTTCAAGTTTAACGGTGCCCTTACCGACGCTACAACAATGACAAATTTTTTCACTAACTTAAGAGTGAATGATGACCATAACGAAGGTTTTACCAAAAGATGGATGTATACCCGAGATAGTCAGTCTGTGCACATATTTATACCGCTCAAATACATTTTCGGCTTCCTCAATGATTATGAAAAAGTCATTACAGGCTTTGATGTAAAATTTCAGTTTCAAAGAAACAGTCATAGGAACATGTTGTATACAAATGTACCTAATCCTAAATATAAAGTACAAGTCAAGAAACTTTCGCTTTGGCTACCTTATGTTAAATTCAATTCTTCTGTTGATGGTCAGTTTACAAAACTGATTCTGTCGGACCAATCCATCGACATTAACTGGAGGCAACCTAGAGTAGTCAAGTCCAACATTTTAGAAAATAGCAGCGGATCATGCAACATACCCGCCACTACTGATGAAGTGATGAGCCTTTACGTTGTGCCCCAATATGATAAAAGAAACGAAAACTTTTCTCAAAACAACATGCTGTTCGATAACTTAAACATGATTGATTGCTGGCTTATGGTCAATAACGTGAGGGTGCCAAACATCAATTATACTATGGACTTTGAGAAAAAAGATTATTCGAGACTCTACGCTACGCCGCTCTCTTAGATGCAGGGCTTAACAATATCACTTCCGAAGCCGGATGTCTGATCAACTATGAAACCTTTAGAAGTCTCTATCCAATCATATGCTTCAACTTATCTTTTCACGAGCCGTACGTAAATGTTAGCAACCTGATGATTGAATTTCACTGGAGACTGAAGAGCAGCCCTGATGATAAGTATGTATTTTACTTTGTTTTGAATGAGAGAAAGAGATGCAAACTCAATATGGCAGAAAAGAAGATCATAGTGTTGAATACTTTAAGGATGTAATATTTAGAGATTATTTTTAGATTTTAATAGATTGTAATCTATTAAAAACTTATTTATATAATAATAAAGATGGCTTGGTATCCTTTTGGAATATACTATCCCAGAAAAGCGGTGGGTCTTCGCGGTCCACCTGGAATAGGGTTTAAACTCACAAACGATGGGAATTATGATATGGAATAACAAGGTGCTGAAAAACTGTAAAGATCCAGTAGACGCCAACGATGTCACCACGAAGTCCTTCGTTTCCGGAGAATTGGAGGATTTAAAGCTGGAAATTAGGACACTTTATGATGTTATGACCAACAGAATAGAGGAATTAAAGCTGGAAGCTAGGAGAAGTAATGATGCTATGGTAAACAGCTTTAAAAATTATTCGTCAGAGACTTCGAAGAAGCTTAAAAGCTTGGAAATAGGATTCAAGCATACTGAAGAAAAATTACAGGAATATACTCAAAGTGTTTATATATGCGCAGATCCTCCTGAAAGCGGGTACAGCAGCTCAAAATTTCAGAAGGTGACATTTACTTCGTTCAGTAATAATTTACTGAATGGAGCACTCATGACATTGAATGAAAGTGTAAAGGCTAAAATAACCTTCTTCGCACTCATAGATAATAATGGTACTTATCTTGAAAGTGTGGTTGAAGCTCAAATTTTTAAACGGTAATAAGATGCTGCGGGAGTTCAATTATAACACCGAACAGGTATCATTTATAAACTATATTAAGAAAGATAAAGAGATACAAGTATTCGTTAAGACTAAGGACCTAAAAACTTATGTATACTTGAAAGTAGAAATTCTTTTGTGTTTATAATAAATGGCTGACGTAAATTGGAACGATATTTCGAAGACCGGTTTGTTGGAAGGACAAATCAGGGCATTACAAACAGAATATAAGTTGGTCGCTCGTGAGTCGATACTCGACTCTTTCGGAGGAGTTCATCGAAGAATTCTCAAATCAGGTGAACTGGAAGGTCATTTGTCAGTATCAGACGTTATCAGAACCATTTATAGAAAAACATGAAGGTTTAGTTGAATGGTATGAAATCTCCAAATACCAGAAATTGTCGGAACCCTTCATGGACAAATATGCCTATAGTTTAGACTGGGAACAAGCTTGCAGGTACCAAAAGATGACAGAACCTTTCCTCGATAAACATATAACAAAAGTGCATTGGATAACAGTTTCCCACTACCAAGTACTGAGCATAGACTTCATGCGGAAGCACAAAGACTATATCGATATGGTTCTTATCTCTTCCCAACAAAACACTCACTGAAGATTTCATGAGGGAATTCGCAGAACAGCTGGAATGGGAACGAATTGTCAGATATCAAACCTTTAGCGAAGAGTTTATCTTAGAACACCAGGATAAGATAGACTTTTGTCATCTGATGACTTATAAACACCATTTACTATCGAATGCCTTTTACGAGATGCACTATAAAAAACTGATTTGCATCCTTCTAACTAACATATGCAACAGAAATTTATATAGATATAGCAGCGAAAATGAACCTTAAACCTAGTAATTTTTAATGCTGTGTAGCATTAAAAATAAAATAACTACCCGCAATTTGTTATGATCGTGTTTCCGTTTTCAACGTCCCGCGTGGGGAAAAAAAAAAATCGAAGCGAACGCTGATGAAATGACCTTGGAGTGAAACGTGTTCCTAGCTTGAGGAAATGATAAGTGCTTTTTTTTTATTATTCTATCGTATACGTCACGACCTTGACTGCGTCTAAATGCGTAGTATTAGAAAGTGACAACAGATGGCAGCACCTCACAAAACATGTTTGATATGTTACATTTATAAGACAGTTAGCAATTATTGAATACGGGTACCCTGGCTGAACGGTTAGCGCGCAGGACTACTAACATCAAAGTCCCAAGTTCAAACCCCGACCTCTCCCGGATTGATGTCATTCAATCCGGATTGATGGTCTTAACCTAGCCAAAAAGACATGTCAGCTTACTCTCGCCGTTGAACCAATAGAGTAGCATTCACCGTTATTCCCAGCTTACTCTCGCCGTTGAACCAATAGAGTAGCATTCACCGTTATTCATAAGTGGGATCCCCGACGCTAAAGCGTCAGAGTCTTACAGTGTATGTCCTCTATGTTGTCCTATATATGTTGTATATATGTCCTATATATGTGTATAATGTATGTCCTATATATGTTGTGGTGCGAGAGGGTGGGCCTGTGTGAGTCCAGTCAGACCACAACTCCAGGTGACTGAGAAAAAGTTGGAGGGCGCTGCGCCCTCCAACCTCTACATTGGGAAAAAGTATGATAGCTTATCTTATCATGATGGTAAGGCCGTCTATATTTACTGTGTATGTGCGTGTTGTAATGGCTGTTCGCTCAAAGTTTAGTCCAATGGGGGAGAGTGTCCGCGGGGTCCTTCGGTCATGCTTGCGGGGCCTTCCTGGCTTTGTTCTCGGTACCTCGGCGAGCGAGTCCTTGGTATCGTTGGTGAGTGTCATCATAGTTAATTACTACAGCTTATGAATATACTGATCTCAGAGTCATTTCAAACGAAGGTTTCGTAAAATTTCGAGGGGTCTGATGAAACCTAGTGAATAATAAAAGCATTTAAAGAGATGGATTCTATATGTAAAGATGGCAAATATTTATGACTTATTCGGTGATATTAGAGCTTTATATAGCTCAAGTAATAACAGCAGAATGTGCGGCCTTGCTAGAATGTGTCAGCATTTACTGACTGCTGTTGAAGAAGAAACAGATATGAATAATAATTATCCTGAAATTCATTCGCTAATTTTAAAATATATTATTCAAATGTATCAAATACTACACGAAGAAAAGAATAGTAAGGTACAGAATATGGGTTATGACACTCTATCAAAAATGACCAGATTTCTTTTGTGTAACTAAGCCTACTTTATTTTTTAATGACTCTAAAACCATTAAAAAAAAGTTATTGCTCAAATTTAAACATGTTTCCAGGTTGGGCTTTCCCGACATCTTTACTTCCTAAATAAACAAAATAAAGAGGTTTAATGCTATTGAGCTTTAAATAATCAGATGCTTTGTTATCACATCGCTTCGGTAAAGATACAACACACTCAGGTAAATGGACTATTATTTTTTTACCATACTTTGTGTTTATTTCTCTAATTTCTGTAACCGGATACTTTTCATTGATATTAAGTTCGCTCATTTTTCTTGAACTCATTGAGAGAACTAAATGTGTTTAATTCTTGTAACAATTCCATCTTTACATATAGAATCCATCTCTTTAAATGCTTTTATTATTCACTAGGTATTATTAATCAATTACCCATTGTCTCTCCTTTGACGCTCTAGAAGCCATACATAATGGTGCACTGATGGTATAAATTAATACCCTCACTAAATATACCATGCCAGTGGATTATGTGGGGGGACGAATGCCCCTTGCAAAAGAAGCATGCGATGAAGAGGAAAAGTGGCGTTTGTAAAAGCGGCGTTTTCTAAAAGTGGGTTCGATTTTTAATGGAGGGTTGGAGAGCCATTGTTTTCTAAAAGTGGGTGCGGTTTTAATGGGGGCTTTGAGAGCCATTGTTTTAAAAAATTATATGGGTGAAACAGAGCCATTACATTTCTAAAAGTGGGTGGGATTTTTATGGGAGGGTAAATGGCTCTGCGCCAGCTCCGGCATATATACACTACTATTACCTTATCAGTTGAAGTTACCAGTCAGTGTGACCGTAATGAGTTTCTTATATTACAGTCGAATTCTGTTTTCCCGACATAAATGGGAATAATTGTGGTCAGATAACCGGAAAAGTCTGATTATTCTAATCTACCGAACATAGGTTGTTAAATCAGATCGTCAAATAAAAAGGAACATATGGATACTCGGCTCACTAAAGTCTTTTACTGGGCGCCGGAATCAGTACCGTTTTTTTCCATTTTATTCCTGCAATAATAAAACTTAGAAATTAAAGAGAATTCGTTTACTATGCTTTATATAAAAGCTAATTATTATAGAAAAATTGCATTGTGATGGCAATGAGAATATAATTAATAATAAGCCTAATACATTAGGTTACAAAGGAGCTAACTGATATTTTGATTGTGCAAATAACTAAATTGAAGTAGTTCTGTTACTATTCTAACATCTGTAACTAATCTGCAAAAATATAGATTAATTGCAGTGACTGAATTTTAATAAATAAAATCCTGAATAAGATTATTTAAAGTAGGATGATTGGAGAATCATTCCTTAAGTGATAGGACTGAATAACTGACTGGAGAATGCCACTATTGAGGACAATAACTAAACAGACTTTTGATACGAAACATTACACGGGCGTACAACTGTGCGCAGCCTGACACAAAAATTATTAAATAGGAATACATCAGCACCGCAAAATTAATATGAATCATTCTTTCCGCCATCTGACGAAGTTATCGTTTATCAAAGTTATATAACAGGTCTGCAGCTCGAAAACCTCCTGCGGCTTTCACAAGCGATTGGTGTGGCTCTTATGCGATTAAAATACGTGTACGATATAGAGTAAACTAAATCTGCTCATTGTCGGAAAAAATAATTATTTCACTTCTTTTTACAAAATTATTAGTACACTTAAACTAATCAATGGCCGTATGTAAAATTTAAATCTGCTTATAAATGTTTTAGGACTGGATGAATGGATACATATGGATGCTTTATGAAAGGGTCTGCTGAATTTCTGATTCCTTAGTAGAGGTAGAAACTAAATTGGGGTTGTCTGTGAGCGGAGGGAAATGTGCATGGAATGCATCTGAAATATTTAATATCAAACATAATTTGATACAAATTAAAAATAATTTAGTAGTTTATTATACGTCCAAATTGATCATAAATTTATGGCAACCTGATGCTTTGAGATTTCCGAATAATTGTGATGACCATCATAGCTTAGAAGACGTAGTTACCTATAGAAAATTTCGAGAATCTGTACCATTTGAGGACAACAGATAGATAGCTGGTTCACCACGGAACAGAGTATGCAGTAGAGATAGGAGATAATTTTCAGGTAGCAGGTAAACACTTTGTGGCACAGATTTAAGAAGTTTCATGAGCATTACAAAGTTATAATAGATCATTTAAAAGAAGTTATTTCCGAAGATTCAGTGTATTTGAAAACTGAAAAAAAGTACTTTTTACCCCACCAAGGTGAAATTAGAGAAAACAAAGACACCATAAACTTAGGCGTTATCTTCGTCCTGCCTTCACACACTGCCATTGAATGCCATGAAGGCACATTTCCATTGAATGATTGTTTAGATTCAGACGGTTTTTTTTTTCCATTTGAAATCTGTTGGACTTTGGTAAACATCTAGTTGCGGCTCTGAAATTTTCCTGAATTCTAACATACACCTGTTACTGACGTGATATCCCCCCCCTGTTAAAAATGTATATAAAAGGATGGCTAGTGGCGTCACAAGAAAGAAGACAAATACATTATAAAACCACCTCTTTCCTCAAACTTTTCAACACTATACACTGCTGGCCACCGTAAATGCAACACCCTGAAGGAAGCATGCAAATAACATGAAATGTTTAGCATGCATTAGCGGAGGTGAGATAAGCAAACGATTAGAATTTCGGCACAGACGCACATCACGCGCGCCTGTGACGCCACTTCAAAGCGCTATTTAAGGCTTAGAGTTTTCGACGATTTCAAGTTCGGCAATTGTGTTTTTCTTGTGGGTTTTTCAGAAAAACTATCAATTATACCTCGTAGTAAACAGCGATCATCATTTAATCAAGTATCCGAGTTCAACAGAAAAAGTATAGTGGCCTACCGAGAGTGTGGATTATCTTTCAGGGAAATCGCTAGTCGTGTTATCCGAAACGAAACAACTCTAATGCGGATATGTGACCGTTGGATGCGGGAAGGTACGACGGACCGACGTGTTCGATCGCATCCACCTCAGTACACTACTTTACGTGATGACAGGAACATTGTGCACATGGCAGTGACGGATCGCTCAGTCTCATCACGAACCATAGCACAGCACATTCAGTCTGTAAAGCATCATCCAGTGTCTGCGCGTACCATTCGCCGCCGTTTACAGCAGAGTGGTCTGTCCGCAAGACGTCCATTGCTCTACCCTTGACGCAGAACCACAGACGTCTCCGCCGCCAATGGTGCGATGAAAGAAAGATGTGGACGGTAGAATGGAATGAAATTGTCTTTACTGACGAGTCACGCTTCTGTCTGCAACACCACGATGGTCGGATTCGAGTCTGGAGACACCGTGGAGAGAGGATGCTGAACAGCTGCGTTATGCACCGCCACACTGGTCCTGCACCGGGTATTATGCTATGGAGTGGTATTGGATATAACTCTAGCACTCCTCTAGTACGCATTGTCGGTACTCTAAACAGCCAGCGCTACATCTCCGAGGTGTTGGATCCAGTTGTCCTTCCTTACCTTCAGGGCTTGCCCATAGCCATATTTCAACAGGATAATGCGCGACCACACGTGGTACCTTGAACGCATTGTCCAAGGGTTCTTCAGCAATCGCCAGATTGAATTGCTTCCCTGGCCGGGTCGCTCTCCAGATCTTTCGCCGATAGAATACATGTGGTCCATGGTTGCTGAAAGACTGACCCATATCACATCCCAAGCTGCCACACCAGATCAACTTTGGCAATGTCCGGAAGCTGCTTCGTCTGCTGTACCCCAAAAACACATCCAAAGTCTCTTTGAATCAATGCCGAGGCGTGTGGCAGCGGTGATCTCCAACAATGGCGGCTAATCTGGCTACTGAGTCTGAATGAACCACACTTCACAGAAGTCTATAAATTTAATCATTTGATACTTGGTCAACATGTTATCTACTAAATAAATTTTGTTGTGATATCTCTTGTCTTTTTTGGTGTTGCAATTTGGGTGGCCAGCAGTGTATTTCAGATTTGAAATTTTAACAGCTGAAATTCCCATTCAGATGCGTTCAAACATTTGGAAACTCATACACTTAAATGATGTTTAGATTACTTGCCAAACAAAAGCAAAAAGCGATTTACTTAACATAGAATGTAAAAGAAAGATTACAAATTTCAGTATGGTTGATATGATTGAAAACTGTTTTTAACCAAATTGGTAAAATGGTTGTTTTCCCAGGGAAGTTGTTTCATGTGATAGAGAAAATAAAATGATTTTGAAACCATATCAACCAAAAGTAATTTCTTGCGTCAATGCACATTTGAATGCCAATAATTCATGATTTAAATGTACAGATGAGCAACATGAGCATTTCCAAATTCATGCAAAAGGCCTTCACATATACATACATATTTTTTTGGTAAATGTTATGATGAACATTATAGTCTGAAATGATGTAAAATTTAAGCAAACCTTGTGTTCATCACGAATGTGGAACATATTCAAACAGTTTGGAAAAATTAACTATATATTTTATTTCTTTTAATATTGATTCTAAACATACAGTTTCAGTCACAAAGTTCTTCAAAATAATTCAGAATGTTTCATTTAATGAAGTTTCTCTTGAATTTTATGTGGGGTAAGCGCGAGGAAAGGAATTTTAAATAATTAAGAGATAAAAAAACGTATCAGGATGATGCAGATCGGTAACCTCTCAACGAGAGCATAAAAAATCTTAACCCTGGGAATTCATACTATGTCGATTTTTCTTTTTTTAATTAAATGATAGAATTTTAAATTGAAAATAATTATAATTAACTCGAAAAATATTTAATAAAATTTGCTGACAGTTGTTATTAATTTTGCAAGAACTTTTTAATATTCTGTGACCGTCTTCATCTTCAGATTGCGGTTCGGATTGCGGTATTAGCTTGAAAGTTCCTTCATTATTATTTAAAAGTGGACCGAAATTTGCATTAAATTCGGCCAAATTGTAGTTTACTACAGTCTTTATTTCAGTATAATTCTGTGCGTTTTATTAAGCATTCCAAAAGTCATTACCTAATTTTTTCTGTTGTTAAAGTTCTATAGCTTCGAAACTGTTTTTTTTTAAACTTTAAAGTATCTCTATGATATTCATGTTTATAATACCTAGAGTGTAAATGTTTCAAATATTTTTACTAATACCGTATTTCAACTTGTATTCTCCCCCTCCAGCATTTTATAGCTAGGTTCTAAAACTTTTAAACATATTCACGTAGTTTTCCGTTTCCTCTATTCTATAGAACTTTTTCCGCTTAGGAATGATAAAATATATTCTCTCAATAGTTTTTATTTTTGGTTTCAGAATATTTAATTTGAATTTTAATTTTTGTATTAGCATTTCATGAGTTTTATTTTTTCTTTCATTTATTATTTGAAACGAATTTTGTAAAGTTTTTTTGTTAATCTACCTGAACATGGCAAGTGATCTTATACTTAAGAAACTTTCCAAGCATGCGATTTCACCTTACTTCTTTTATTTCCGTTCGAGCTGATAGTAGCCTTATCTACTGCTGATATATTTGATCTTTCAAAATCCTCGTCTTTTGTTTGTCCCCCTTCTCTTTCCTTCTTTCGATGCCCTTCTTGCATCAATATTTTTCATATGATGTGCTCCTGGGGTTTTATAAGGTAATTGTGCCGGATACTTCGCGCACGGCTCAGTTATCGTTAGAGATCGTTTCAATATATTCTAACTCTATTCAAGATACTCTGACGTTTATATTACTATGTATTCCTAGTTCAAATGTAATGTAGTTAGGGACTACTTTACATTTATTATGTTCTTATTGTAACCGCGTTCTTCGGAAATCAAATTACATAATTTTCCCCTCTCGAGTTTTGGGCGATAAAATTAGTTTAAAATGTGGAGAATAAGCGAGTAAATACTTCAAAATGAAATATTACTTAAAAATATCAAGGCTATTTATTGTAATGTGAACGCAACTTCCATATGCATTTTTTTAATTCAAAACAATCCCTTTTATTTATTTACTGCCGTGAACTAGAACTGATCTGGCAAAATTTTAAAGTATGTTGCCATGAAAATGCATCTAATTTAGGAATTTAAAGTTGAAGTATGGCTATAGAATTTGCAAATATTATCTGTGAACTAGTATCCCATTTGTTCTTAAAGCATCTTGAAGAATACTTGAATATATTTTAATGGAACTTATGTGTCTTTAGGTATAGATGTAATTATTTGATTATTATTACCGTTATTGGAGTTGCGTTTAAGTTTATAAAAAAAAATATCTGTTTTCGTTGCAGAGTCTGTTCAAGGTCCTCATGAGAAGCGCCTGTTGACCGACTTGCTTACAACCTACAACGTTCTAGAAAGACCTGTTGCGAACGAATCGCAGCCACTACTGTTAAGCTTTGGTTTGACGCTGCAACAAATTATTGACGTAGTGAGTACTAAATGCTTTTGTTAAAAATGCTTAAAACTTTTAATTTGTATTATTTATTACGCAAAATTTTGCTCATTCATTTTATTTTTATTGCTAATTTTGGGAACTACAAGAAATATCAGCTTAATCGCATATATTTTAATTATCGTGCTCCAATCAAAATTAGACATTTCACTGACTTAAAAAAGTATTTGCTACATAGTTATTCTCTTCAAAGATAAAATGTTTGCCTCTAACCTCAGTTTCCGATAGAAATATTTTTTTACCCGTTCAACAGTTGTCACGACCTATTTAAAAGTTCGCATCAAATAAATGTGAACCACCTACTTGTTATTTTCTAGGAGGTTAAACAGATCGCGCAGTATGATGGAATATCGGATAGGAGGCAGATGAGGAGTGCTTGTGGCAGTCGATTAAACTCAAGGCAGTTTTCAGCTCCGGGATGATCCTAGGAAATGGCGAGATAAAATTGCCATTCCAAGGGCGTCCCAAACATGATTTATAGGGTTATAGTCAGAATGACTGGGTGGCCAATCCATGCGGCGAAAGTCCTCATTTTCCATGTAATCGTAAGCTCAGCCTTATTTTTTCAACCGTTGTCATTTATTAACAAGAACATAAATCTAAAACAAGGCTCTAAGATCTCCCCCCGTAACTCATAGCAGTTAGGGAGCCTTTGTCAAAGACATACAGGAGTGCGCGTTTGTCCAACGTAATGCCTTCCCAAATCATTACATTTCCACCACCGTAATGATCCCTTTCCTAACGAAGGAAGGATGTTATCGTGTTCCCGGCTCTCTATGAATACACATACTCCAATAATCATTGTCTAAGCTGAATCATGATTCATCTGTAGAAAGTACTGACCTCCACTGAAGTCTGGTCCAAGGCGCATATTGTCTGCACCATGCTAAAAACTCGGCCTTGCGTGCTTCAGTGAGTGGTACGTAGAAGGCGGGTCTTCTGGCATTACAGGCCTGTCTTACGAAACCTTCTGACAACTGTAGCTCATGAAACTGGTGTTACAGTGAAAGAATACTGCTCACGTGAGAGCTGTGAAGCTGCAGTTATCCTATGCCACCCTGCTAAAAGTGCCAAAGAACGATCCTCATTCTTTGTTTGAATCTTGATCGACCTTGTCAGGCCATCTCGACCTGCATCCATTGTCCTGAAATTGTTTACATAAACTGCAGATGACAGTGGGCAGTACATTAAGCTCTTTAGCCAGCTAGGCTTGTTATTAGTCTGCGTTCTATCTAAGAATAATTGTTCATCTCATTTCGTTATTAATACGTTCGTGGTTACTCATTTTACTTGACACTTCATAAAATTTATCCAAACCTTTCGAGAAATGCGACGAATGTCGTTAAGGAGTACAGGCACATAATATCGCCGAAAACCCTTCGTGCGCTTATATTCCTTCCAAAATTACATCTCAGCAGACACTGTGGTAGGTGTACGCTTATGTATTAGACTCAGAATCTTTTCATAGTTCTTCAGCAGCATAATTAATACCTTTGGTTCAATAATTTCCGTAAAAATTCACATAATTTGCAAATTCTTATAATTTTGCCCACGAGTGTATAGGACTGTTCTCCACTTGAAACAAGTCTGGAGTTTTCAAATTTCCAAAATAAGCCATTAGAAAATGTATGCATTACTCAATAATTTTTATCTTCTTTTTATTTTTAATATTAAAGCATCCAAGGACATTTTACAAAAATTTACTTCTGGAAGCAGTTACGAACTTTATAATATAATAAATACGCATAGCTTAACATGCAATACAAAGCATGTATTACAATATTGCTACTGTCTGAATTTTCGCTTGTCATGCAGACTAGATGCGAAGTAACTTTCTTTAGAAATGACAACATGCATCTAAATAAAACTGCAGAAGCCACTGAATTTGTAATTTTACTGAAAACTTACTAGTTAAATAATTAAACACAAATGAAACTGCATAATATAATACTGATTCTCGGTTAGAGTGTAATATATTGTTACGAATTTGGTATTTAAAAAGCTAATGTTAGTTCAATTATAAATTAAATGGTTTTATTTCTCGCGCAGTGTAGCGCGCGAGACGAATAAAAGAAAGCTAAGCCGGAAAATTGAAAAATAGCGCGTGCATTAAAAAATACTCGCTTTTTGCGTACGAAAATTCTAGCGCGGATTTTAAAATCTATAAAGGAGGAAACATCTCAGTTCGGAGTACGTAGCAGTCGAATTGGAGTTGATAATTATTATTATTTGCTCTACGAGTGTGATTCTAAAATTTAGGAAGTGAAGGAAATTTATAAATAGTAAGTGTTTTTCGTTGGTCTCTTTCGAGAGGTGTACTTGGAGTAGCTCATCTGGACAAGTTCGTGAGTATATTTTTGATTTCTACGCTTTCATTATGGACATTGTCTTGTACATCGATAGGATAGCTTGACTTAGTAAATATGGATGAGATAAATGATTTAGCAATCCTTAATAAGCGCGATATTGTTGAGAATATTCTTAAACATGGCACGATTGAGGATTGTAGGCAGATTATGTCTGAGTTTAACTTAGCGTTTAACACGCTTAGAAATGGCTTACGGAAAATCACCCCAGAAATGGAGCAATGGCTCCAAAAAAACCTATGCAGAGCTTGAGAAGTGTGTAGCGATTAAACAAAGCTGCAGGAGATTCAGTGCAAAATATCTGCGGTAGCATCCCGTTAGTTAATACTAGCAATGATTCGACATCTAATCAAACTACAAAGCAACCCAAACCAGTTTCAAATGTTATTCAGGAAATAAGCAAAATAAATAATTATAATGAAAAATGGATTACACCCAAAAATACCACAAACGCACACTTAGTGAAAGCAGCAACGGTTCAATGACGTCAACCAAAAATAATACGCTTCATTAAAAATAGATGATAAAATGGACACTACAAATGTTAGGCTAAACTCACAAGAAGACAGTACTAATAAGAAGGTGATTTCATTACGCCCAACAAAAAGGCTAACAGATTATCATTTCAGATGTCACGGACTGGAAAGCCCTCAGAGATAATATTAAGCAATTTACCATATCCATGGAATGTGTACAGAAAGGTGGTGATATCCACATTAAAGTTAAATCGGACACTGAGTATCGTGAAGTCACGAGATACCTAGACGAAAAGGAAATTCCTTACCATACCTTTCCTCTCCCTCAGGATAAACCGATAAGAGTTGTAATCAAAAAATTATCTGTTCACACCAAACCCGAGGACATTATGGAAGAACTAATAGACAATAACATCCCGGTTAAAACAGTAAGACAAGTTACCAAGAAAATAGACAATGAAATTGTCAAACTACCCACTTTCATGGTTGAAGTCAAACGCAGCATAGAAGGCAAGAAAATATACAACATAACGCATATTCTAGATTTGGCTGTTAAAATTACTCCCTTCAGACCCACTCCAGGACACAAACAGTGTCACCACTGTCAGAGGTATGGCCACAGTCGTGCTCACTGTAAGCACAAGCCCAGGTGTTTTAAAATGCGGGCAAAACCATATTACTACTACATGTACAAAAGACAGAAACTTACCCGGCAAATGTTGCCTCTGCGGAGGCCCCCACATTAGTTCGTACCGTGGTTGCGAAATGCATCCGGATAACTTGAAAAGAAAATTGCAGAAAAAGAATTCCAAAAAGAAGCGAGAAAAACTTCAAAAAATAGTCCCCCTGATATCAACTTAGAAAATTTCCCACCTCTTCCAAGAAGAAACATAACTCAAAATAGCAGTGAAAATGGTTAATGAGCAAATGCTTCATCCACCAATCAGGACGCAGCTGTCGAAAGTGAGAACTTAGGCTCCGTTTCCGATTTCATAATTTGGCTGAAGAAATTATTCCTGCAAGGAAAAAATCTCTTCGAGCGGTTCTTAAAATCTAAATCAATATTGGAAAAAACTCCAAGTCGGCTGGGAAGCCTTTGAACTTTTATCAAGCATCAATTATGAATTTTAACCACATTAACAGTAATTCAAGAACTCACCTCACTGCCCCCAGCAGTTTAAATCTTGCATTTTTTAACGCCAACGGTATTCGCCACAAGAACGTTGAAGTTGCAAACTTCCTTACTCACCATAATATTGATGTGTTTCTAGTGAATGAAACTTGGCTCAGACCTAATGATAAGTTCAAGATCAATGGTTACAACGCATTCAGGACGGACAGAGACCATAACAGGGGCGGCGGTACTATGATATTAATTAAAAGGCATCTGCACGCCAACGAGTTTAATATTCCCAATAGCAGCAGCATTGAAACCACTGCGATCGTTGTGCATTCGCGGACAAATGAGCCGATTGTCATCATCTCGGCTTATAATCCCCCCAGAAACATTCTCACCAACAATGACTTGCAAATTTTTAACAATATCACTCACCCTGTTATTATAGCAGGGGACCTGAATTCTAAACATCATAGCTGGAATTCTCAAAGAAATAACACAAATGGCAACAAACTTTACAACTATGCTCTTACGAATGACCTTAGAATTTTTGGACCAACGGAACCTACCAGGTATCATCATACAGGCAGCTCGGATGTTCTCGACATTGTTATTACAAAAAATATCCAGCAAATCCCTTTCCTACAGGTGATTAATCAATTAACCTCTGACCATCTCCCTGTTAAATTTACTTACCATGGCTTTGAGAAGACCTTGCCTTTAAAGAAAATTATAAACTGGCAGAAATTCAATAATTCTCTAGAACAATTACCTGCACACCCGGCTCTTGCCGATATTGTAGACATTGAGTACAATATCACTAAGATCAATAGTAAAATTAAGAAAGCCCTTGATGATTCCACCAAATTCAAAGATTATAAGAAAGATAAGCTCCCCGACCACATCATTGAGAAAATAAAAGACAAAAACCGCACAGCAAAAATTTGGCGAAGAACAGGCGATCCCACTGTTAAAAGAAATCTGAACAGAAAAATTAGGAACATCAAGACCCCTCCT